CTTCAACTCCCAGAATTCCCCAGCCAGCAAGGGAATTCTGGGAGTTGAAGTCCACACATCTGAAAAGTTGCCAAGGTTGAGAAACACTGCTCAATGCTAAAGATCACACTCCAAGCCTATTCTCTACCTGTTCCCATTTTCAGGGGTTACAGGCAATGCCTGGAGAAAGAGTCTTCACAGGCAGTCCTGTCTGTCAAGTTTTTTCCCATGGAGTAGAAATATAAATCTTATTTCTTTCACCATAAGCAGGCTTTCTAATTTAGTTAAGCGTTTTCTAAATGCTTGTCGGAGATGTGTTTGTTTTTAGACTTCCTAGCTACTTCTAGAAAGACATGATTGTATATGTTGGCTAGGAAAATGTTTTTTATTTCAAAGGTAGCTGGATCCCTGTGAAATGGAATAAAAGGATCCAGATCAGATCCAGACTATTTGGAATTATATATTAGGTTTTTATCTTTGTTCACTTCCAGAGTTTCACCGGTTAGATAGGTAGCCATGTAAAATTGTCTAATAAATAGATAACTCCGTTCTATATAAAAACTTTTGATCATGCTGCACAGGCTCCACAACAATTATGTGTTTATGTGTATATGGTTTGTTATGCTGTTATTACCATGGCTATATGGAACTACAGTTGCATCAGGATTCTCATGATACTACTTCTCACGAGACAGGTTTGCCTGCTTATTACCTATCTATCTATCGATTGATCGATCAATCATATTTCCAAGCCACCCCATTCCCACAGGACTCTAGGTGCAGAACAATAGAACAAAAACAATAAAATTAAAGCAAACCTCAACTAACGCAAAACAGTTAGCATGGGCCAAAGGCACAATGGAGTAAGATTGTACCTGCTTGTGAAAAGCCAAAAAGGTGGGGTGGGTGCTGCACATACAGTGAGGCAAAAAAGTATTTAGTCAGCCACCAATTGTGCAAGTTCTCCCACTTAAAAAGATGAGAGAGGCCTGTAATTTTCATCATAGGTATACCTCAACTATGAGAGACAAAATGGGGAAAAAAATCCAGAAAATCACATTGTCTAAAAAGATGAGAGAGGCCTGTAATTTTCATCATAGGTATACCTCAACTATGAGAGACAAAATGGGGAAAAAAATCCAGAAAATCACATTGTCTAAAAAGATGAGAGAGGCCTGTAATTTTCATCATAGGTATACCTCAACTATGAGAGACAAAATGGGGAAAAAAATCCAGAAAATCACATTGTCTAAAAAGATGAGAGAGGCCTGTAATTTTCATCATAGGTATACCTCAACTATGAGAGACAAAATGGGGAAAAAAATCCAGAAAATCACATTGTCTAAAAAGATGAGAGAGGCCTGTAATTTTCATCATAGGTATACCTCAACTATGAGAGACAAAATGGGGAAAAAAATCCAGAAAATCACATTGTCTAAAAAGATGAGAGAGGCCTGTAATTTTCATCATAGGTATACCTCAACTATGAGAGACAAAATGGGGAAAAAAATCCAGAAAATCACATTGTCTAAAAAGATGAGAGAGGCCTGTAATTTTCATCATAGGTATACCTCAACTATGAGAGACAAAATGGGGAAAAAAATCCAGAAAATCACATTGTCTAAAAAGATGAGAGAGGCCTGTAATTTTCATCATAGGTATACCTCAACTATGAGAGACAAAATGGGGAAAAAAATCCAGAAAATCACATTGTCTAAAAAGATGAGAGAGGCCTGTAATTTTCATCATAGGTATACCTCAACTATGAGAGACAAAATGGGGAAAAAAATCCAGAAAATCACATTGTCTAAAAAGATGAGAGAGGCCTGTAATTTTCATCATAGGTATACCTCAACTATGAGAGACAAAATGGGGAAAAAAATCCAGAAAATCACATTGTCTCTTTTAAAATCAGACAATGTGATTTTCTGGATTTTTTTCCCCATTTTGTCTCTCATAGTTGAGGTATACCTATGATGAAAATTACAGGCCTCTCTCATCTTTTTAAGAGGGAGAACTTGCACAATTGGTGGCTGACTAAATACTTTTTTGCCCCACTGTACCTCAGGGTGGGGGGAATAGTTCCATAAAGTACAGGCTACTACTGAGAAGGTCTGTTGCCTTGCCCATATCCCATGTACTTCAGAAAGTGGGGAGACTCCCACCAGGTCATCTTACAATGATGAACCAGGCAGCTAGATTTGATTCTACAAGGAGCTGTCTGATACAATCTGGTGCTATGCTAATGTAGGGTCTTAAAGTTATAAAGACCAGCACTTTGAATTTGGCCCAGAAGCCTACTGATAGCCAATGCAGTAATTTCCAAATGGATTTTATGCTGCAATGATGGGATTGACCTGCCAACAGCCTAGCTGCTGCATTTTGTACCAGCTGTAACTTCTGGGTCATCTCAAAAAGCAGTCCCATGAAGATTGCATTGCAGTAGTCCAACCAACTGGTGATTAAAGTTTGAGTCACTGTGACCAAGTCATCCTGGTTCAAGTAGGGCTATAACTGGTGCAAAGACTACCGCCCCCCCCCCCCAATATTCCACCTGCTGTTTAAGCAGGAGTTGTGAGTCTAGGAGGACCCAAATAATACTAGATTGCAGGTAACCAAGGAGGAGGAGGTAAATGTGCCTGATGGACATAATGTCCAAAATTGTTGGACATTCTCAAGGATGATTATTTTAGGGTTTCATTTTCTTCACTTAAATGGGCTTCCTTCTAGATCAGAAATGTGGATGTTTTGTTCCTGTTCAGAACTATTTTATTGCAGGATAATTGTTGGGGTCTCCATGACAAAAGTGGGCAGGGCTCCAACCAGTGATGGCTGAGGCTACCTCTTCTTCCTTCCACTCGATTAAATCATCCCTCTGATGGAGGGGTGGCTGCTTGACATTAAGCACAGGACTATGAGCTATAAATGTAATAAATAATGCTACATTTTGTGAATATAAATATTTTAAGCTTATAATGGGATTGTTGAGGACTGAAAATTCTGCACCTTTAAAATAATTGGTGTGTGAATTCAGTCCTCCTTTCCAACTGCTATGTTATTTTTCATCTTTTTCTCCTTAGCATTTTAAATCGAAAACTAAACGTCTATTCTTCTTGCCCTTTTTTGCCATAGCAAAGACATGGGCTTTGTGTTTTGTGTAACTTATTTCCTGCTGTCCTAGACACTTAAGTTTGCTCCAGGAAGGATAAATAGCATAAGCAATTCCCAATCATGGCCTTTGGCTCTCCTGGAACCCACACAAGTGCTTGGTTTTTCCCCCTCCATGCAAATAGATAACTTTTTCAGCTAATGCATACAATATATCTAAATTGCGTGCTTACCTACTGAAATCCAATTAATAATAGCATGCTGCTTTAGTTATAATTAGTGTTATTTTGTGGCATCTAAAACTCCACAAAAGATTGTATATTATTACAGCATCTATTCAGTACATTTCAGATTTTCAGTGCTCTTTCCACATACTTTAAGCCTGTATAATTGGACAGTGTGATTATCTATATACTGCAAATGCAGTTGCCATTTATTTGTGTCATCTTTAAAGATTGCTCCCTCAGGAATTTTTTTCTAGAAGTGATATATATAGTGTCAGTACACAAAGTAATATTTGTGTATTGTCAGCAGTGAGGGAAATGAAGGAAATAGGATTGTAGTTCTCTGATGCTAATTCGTAAACAACATAAAATTGGTGGGTATTCAGCTGATAGAAATCTCATTTGCCATAATTTTACTAGCGACACTGTGCAGATCAAAACAATTTACAGTCCAAATAGTTTACAGCAAGCTAGACAGCATTAATTTTAGTTTCAAATATTAACTTAGGTAACCAAATTGAAATGAGAGTCATGTGCTTCATCTCATTTTGATTATTCAGAAAAAAGAACTTGCTTGATGTTGATTTCACTCCTGAATCCTATTCTGTTTGTTGATCTCTAATTCTCATCACTATTTGATGCAAAGTTTTGGAATAGACTGATACATGATATCTAATATCCAAAATCATTTTAAAATCTATTTGTTCAAGAGGAAAATTAAAAATCTCACATCCCCTTTTAAATACAGTTCTTTCACTATACCCCTGAGGGTTCTTTGTCTCTCAAGAGTGGGGATGTTGTCTGCAAGAGGGAGAAGAGATTGTAAAATTATTCTAACTATTCTGCAAGTGGAGTTATACTTACACATTTCTGGATCCATCACTTAGTAACTAAAGTTGTTTTATTGGTATTATGGATTATTTTCAAATTACTCTTACTGGAAAACGCATGAATAAGTCATGAAAGAAAAGGTATACATGTGATACCAAATATCAGCCTGCCAATGATGCAGATAATTTTTATTTTGCATTTGATATTAACAGTGACATCTTATGAATGATGTAATGGTCTTTTGGTTCTATTGGATTTACTCCTTGATAAGCATGCATAGGATTTAAATCTTTTTACATTATGATAATACATATATTATCCAAATAAAATGCCTCTTCAGTCCTTCTTCCCCATAGTAGACGCATGCCACAGAATTGTGTGACTCGTAAATGTACGTTAAATATAATGAAAGTGTAAAAAATAATATAGTATTGAAACACTGTGTTTATTTATATTAAATCTGTAACTTCCACTTCCAGCTATTCCATTTTATACCTGACTACCTTCTACCCCATGCCTATATTGCATCCATTGGCTAGCATTCCAAGTTCACTGATCATGTTTGTACGTCTTTTTTTATTTTCCTAAATATTATGATACTTGCTGAGGGCTCTGTCTTTTGTTTGGGCTGTAGTGCTATGACTGAGTCTTAGGAAGCTGAAACCAGTATTAGGATACAAGATGTGTTGCAAGCTTTAAATCAAGCTTTTTAGTAATGAATGCTTAATTTCGATGTGCCATCAACATTTTGGCCTAATACATAGCACTCTTCTAAAAAAAAATACTTTCTGTACTGGAATGTATAACCTAGCACTTCTTTGTTTCTTCCTGCACAGATGTTTGGAAACTGGACCTTTGGAACACTGGTGTTCACTGTACTGGTATTCACCGTTACACTAAAGGTATAATCTTCTACAACATCAAATTGATGTCACTCTTATGATCCACATGAGGACAGGCTGTAAGATTTCGGTGTTACTTAAGAAAAAGTAATATCTAAAAGTAGACACAATCGAAGTTTATAAAATTAGTCATGGCATGCAAAAGGTAGTAAAAAGAGGTTTCCCCCTCATCTTATGAACTAGAAGCTGTGGTCTTCTGTGAGAGCTCTCTGGTTATTGGAAATTGTTGGTTGTGATGTTGGTCATAAGGAAACTCTTGCTACCACTGTGAGTCAGACAAATAAAAAAAAGTGCCTGTAAAATTAATTATATAAAGTGTCTTATCAGCCCTTTGTATAAAGAACTACCAAGAATTGTTCTGGGTTTGGCTTCCAATTAGATTTGAATGCTTGCAGCTTTAAGAAGAAACTATCAATAGCCATTTCAGTGGTAAACCAAGAATAATTTTACAATAGAAGCTTCTGAGAAATATGAAGTAGAGAGAGCTGACAAAGGAAGTGTATTTTTGGCTCATGAAGGAATAGAATAGATGTGCGCATGAAAAAAAAATGTTACATGGAATGGGAACAGAAAATGTAGGGGTGAAATAATCTGATAAATGCTGATAAAACCTGCTGCAATTTATATACAACTATACTGTATTATTTAAGAGTAATTTTCAGCACTTTGGTTTAGTTAGCTACATACTAGTTGCTCAAAAATCCAGGATTCATCATGTTAATGCCATCCTAAGGCAATTAAATATTTACAGTCTCCTTTTCATGCTAGCATAGATCCTGAAGTATTGATATTAATATCTTTCTATACAGCTTGCACTGGACACTCACTACTGGACGTGGATTAACCACTTCGTGATCTGGGGATCTCTACTTTTCTACATTGTCTTCTCCCTTCTCTGGGGAGGGATCATTTGGTAAGAAACCATTGTGAACCTATATTTAAATGTCTTTCCTAAACTTACAAAAATCAATTATATACAGCAGCATGTAAAAGTTTAGACATCCCTGGTCAAATTGTGTATCTAGGCCCCCATAGCCTCCAGGCACAGGGACAGAACCACCTCCATGGCACCTGGGGTGGAGATGTAAAACAGAGTATCATTAGCATACTGATGATACCTCATCCCAAATCGCTGGATGATCTCCAGCAGCTTCATGTTAGATAGGAAAGGAGAAAGCACCAAATCCTGAGGTAAGAGAATGTCTGTGGGGAGAGGGAGGGAGGGTGGGAGGGATGCTTAGCTCCTAATTGCTGATGACAAATCTCTGCTTCTACTCCCTTTTCTTGTACTCTTCTAGGCTCTAGTGGGGCCCTAGTTGTTAGCCCCAGACCCTAGTTGGGACAGCACCTCCTTCCAAAATCTCTGCTTGAGTCTCAGTAAAGCCCTCTTTATTTGTTTGGGGAAAGTGTATACATAAAAAAGTTAGCTTATTATTTTGGGTGGAATTTGAATGTCCATGAATTCCTTTACTATATATGTATTGCATTAATTTTCTTTATATGGATTATAGCCAAAGTTGCTTGCAAAATAATTTTTCTCCTGGCTTAGTGAAGGCTACAGTGCCAATGTAGATACACATACATTAAAGAGACAGGTTAAGAAAAAATACAGTCGTTTTAACTATTTATCTCCATACAGAGCAAAAAAATCCAGTGAAAACATAATACTTTGTCTAACCAGTCTAGGAATGTGAAGGTGGGATATAACTAATAAAATATGCATGTTGAAATTACTCTTGCTTTGATTCATGTCTTCCACCTTGATAGTATTCTATTCTTCATCAATTAGGCCATTTCTCAACTACCAGAGGATGTACTACGTATTCCTGCAAATGCTGTCTACTGGCCCTGCATGGCTGGGCATTATTTTGCTTATAATTGTGAGCCTTCTTCCAGATGTACTGAAAAAGGTTTTATGCCAGCAGTTATGGCCCACAGCAACAGAAAGAATTCAGGTAAAAAATTAGCTCTCTTATTTTTACAGAAATGATACAGTCTGCTAAATATCTCTGATTTTTATTGAATCAGCAGTTAGCTGATTGAAAATTCAGCAATTAGCTGATTGAAAAGCATTCATTCAAAATAAAACTAATGTAATATTTCACACAATGATTTATTTTACATGCATTGCATACAATTAAAAAAAAACAGAATTACAGAGAAGCAAAAACAACAACAACAAATCAGTTTGGGAGTATATATAAATAAAGTTCTAATCTTAAGAAGAGATATAAAATTGTAAAAATCCATACCCAATATTTCTATCAAAAAAGACATTTATATAGATAGATGTAATTTACTAGGAATTACTTTGTTATACTATACTCCATGGTCTTGTTCCATGTGAACAAAACAAACTTTAACTAAAAGATTCTTCAAAAAGCTTTTCTATATTTCTCACTCTTTTAACTACTATTGGTGCAAAGAAAGACGTATCTTAGTTTTGCTACAATCAATCTGGCAACTAAAAAAAATGGAACATATTTCTTTGTTTCCTGGGAAGATGGACAATAAAATTACATTATTATTAATCATTAAAGACTGTTGTATACTTTCAGTTTTCCCAAAATATTAAAATAATAAAAATAAAATAATTAAATTGCCATTTACAGATACGTACCAATTCAATTACAATTCTTCCAGCACAGACTAAAAAGATTTTATTTAATGTGATGCAATTTAAAAGGATGTAATAATATATTATTTTGATATAATATTCAATTTTCTTTAAATTATAGCCAAGTGTTTACTTAGTTCTACTTCGTTCCCCAGGAAATAAGCTAGAAACTATATCTTAAGGTAGCCATGTTCTATAAAGGTTATTTCTATTTTGTTTCCTTATTATGTTATGTGAACCAACTTTTTTCTAGCTATTCAAACAGGTCTGATTGTCCCCATAGACATGCCCACACCAGCCGAGTTGAATGTATGAACCACTGCTGGATTTGACAATCAGTGTATCCTAACTTCAAAAGCTTGGAGAAGTATAGCTGCAGTCAAAGTCATTATTACAAGTATCAAAAGTTGAACTCCATGGAAGGAGCAAAAAAAAAGGGGGGGTCCTGCTCTAAAACATTTCAGTTCTGGATTTGGCTGTTATGTTCATGCAATGTGCCATTCTTACTGTTCTGGAAGTAGTCTAAATTCCAGATCATTTCAGGAACAGTAAGAACAGCCCTGCTCCAAGGTTAAGCCAAACTGTTTTGAGACAGAACATACTACAAGACTATGAGGAGATGTTTTGTGTACCCTACGAACAACAACAACAATACATCTGCCTATCCCAGGTCCTTGGGAAGGGCTCGATAAGTGGATAAAAATGCCAAATCCAGTCTAAACATCTGCCTGACTGTGCAATCAACAATAATAATAATCTAAACTGAGTGTTTCTATTTCTGAGGGTTTTTAATGTTCCTAGAAAAAGTTTGCATTTTCAGTATTAAAAAGTGTTCAGTGGTCGGACTGTTTAAAACTGTGTATCTTGGGTGAATCTTATACTGTACAAGTGGGATTGCAACCACTGTTTTAGATTTTTATTTCTTATATTATTTATCTTTGTTCTTGCCATATCCAAGTCCTTCCAATTTAAAATGCTAGCATATCATATAGTAATCAAAATACAAAAGGGAGGAAAATGAAAAAAGAGAAATATAAGTAGGTTCAGAGACCACTTAGTGTTTATTCTTACAAATTATACATAATAAAAACAAATCATTATGATATTTAACATTATAGAAATGAAACAGAGCTCCAGGATTAGGAATTAAATGTTTGGTAGTACAGTAATGGTAAGTAGTAGTAGTAGTAAGTAGTAAAAGCAAGAACTGTTCTATAGCCTTTTGTCACTTGCCTAAAGAATTTGGCTCAGCCTGTGGGTGACTTCTAAAGAGGGCTGGATTGCATAAAATGGAAGAGCTCTGCTGGATCAGCCCAAAGCCCATTTAGTCCTGCTTTCCCTATGGTTTGATGTCTATGACAGTCCTGCAAACATGATGTGAGCACAACAGACCTTTCTGTTTATGTCTTAAAGCAACTGCCTGCCTCACCTATTAAGGAATACTATTGAATGCAGTGGTATAGCTGAGTAGTCATGTACAGGATTACAGCAGTGATGAGGATGTTGTGCTATGATCATAAACATACCTAGCGTAGCAATTTTCAGGGACTTCTCCATGATTTGAATGTGCACCTTTCTATATGCATTACATTGTCAATGTTTCTTTGTAAGCCTTTGGGATTTAATCAGATTTATTCCTTGTGTTTCTTCTTTTCCCACTCTCAATACACTCCTGTCTTCCATACTGCTTTTCCTAAATAACTGCTACCTTGCTTTAAACTAAAAATGATGTACATGGGTACTACCGTCAATCTTCTTGGGAAATCAGACTAAACACCAGTGCCTTTCTGTTGAGCAGTCTACCATCTTTATGCTTTCTCAGACTTCAAGCAGTCTAAGTTTCTAATGGAGCAAAAGGTGATTTTTTTCCTGCCTTTCTGCATGCTTGGTCATTTCATTCAGAGGATGTTAGAAAGTGCATTCACAGGCACAATATGTTAGTCACACCTCATCTGCCCAGTGGAACTTTAAACTCTCTACCATTATAATATTTTTATAGAATTTTCTTCTTTGCATCTCCAAGTGTACAATATATATAACTATATGTGAGTGTGTGTGTGTGTGTATATATACACACACACATTCTTTATCATTGTTTGTATATAAATAATACACTGCTGTGTTTCTTCTTTTTTAGTAATTTGAGTAGTGTCATAGTAACCACCATTGCTAAGCATAGATGTGATGGCAACTCCTGAATGCCATTGTTCATATGTAATCATGAACCATGGCTTGCCATTATATGAACACATCTGCCTAGACCTGTGGACTGGGGTGTGCACGCTTTGAAAATGATTCAAAGTGTTTTGGATCTTGTATGAGGACAGCCTCTGTTATTTATTAAAGGATCTAGCTTTTTTCAGACGTCCATGTGTCTTAAGAAACCTTATTAGAGTTAATGTGAATCTTATAGCAGCAACACTCTTAGGTTAGGGTAAAAGCCATAGAAAATTGGATTGCTTCAATGGATGGCAGAGAGGTTCTATCACATTCAGGTTCACCCAAAGTTCCAAGTACTGTTGCTAAACCATTTTCAAAGCATGCACAGAACTGTGTATCTTTCACTTTAATTTCCCTTTGCATGCTGGTGTATCATCTTTCCTAATTTGATGAAATTAGTGTCTTTGTTTCCAAACCAACAAGCTAAACTTTTGTCTAATCCTGCAAAACAGGACCAGGAATCTGTACAGTTTATGTTTGGCCTGGTTTGAATTCAGTATTTCAAACAAAGATTATTGTTGCACTTTTCACTTTCCATTTTGATAGTACAAGTCTGATCTTTTTTCCAAGTCCATTACAGTCTTTATGTTGTTCAGCTTGTCACTTCTGTGTGGTAAGCAAGAACATTATTCTCAATATCTAAAACTGAACTAGAAAGCCTGATTTTTCTTTTGCTATTTTATTTCCAAGGCTTAATAAGGGTGTATGGCAAACTGCATTGGGCTATTAAATCAGTAAAGCTGCAAAAGCTTTGGAGGAATCTTTTTCTTTTGGTAAACTATAAGCCAAATCCTATTTCCTATGATAATTCTAGACTATTCCATAAAGGTAATTAGAATTTCTGTCTGACTTGTATCTTTTTCTGACATTTATGCATTTATCTCATCCTGCTACATGTAATTATTCTGGTTTTTCAAGACGGGTATTAACATATCTTCATTTCTACTTAACATTTTTCTTGCTTCAAACATTAGACTTTTGGTGTAAGCTTTATATCATTTTTTTTAACTTCAATGACACAAAAATATTATTCCTTTAATTCAAATTTTCCCTTTGATTAAAATAAACAATAAAAAGCAGGCATTAAATCTGAAAAAAAAAGTCAGGTTTGGACTTCTGGACAGGATGAAAGCTATAACCATTTTTCTGCATGTGGAGCATACGGGTACCTTCATTCATCCTTTGCATGATCATTGTGTAAGGTATTATCCTTCCACTTAAAAGTATAACAGGTCTTTCCAGAAATAAAGTCTCAATTGCAAAGGGGACCAATGCATAGGATCACATTTTTCAGTCAGATCCAGTTTCAGCAGGAACTATGACTGATAATGCTGAAGTCCCTATACATTTGAACACACAGCAGTCAATATGTTCTGAAGTTCCTGACTAATATCCACCACAAACCTAAAGCTAGAGAATAAAAGATTATAAAACCATTGTATGAAAGAATATAAAACCATTGTACTCCAACTATGATAAAATAGTTATTTCTTGATGTTTTTTTTACTCAACCTGTCAGGTTTTCATTAGCAGGATTTAAAGATTTTGCATATATTAGTCATCCTAACATGATTGTTTTACATGTTCCTCTTAAGATGTTCATATTGGACCTACTGTATAGTTTCAGTGTTTTTCCTCATCCTTGCAGAAGAGTTGGAAACATAAATCAACTCTAAATGCTTTGATGAACAACGATGACCCACTCCTTGAAGGAACCCTTTCTGCTTCCGAGGCATAATTAGATCACTGATAGGTAACAGCATTGCACGTGGTACTATTAGGTAATTTCTACTAGTGTGCTGTGATATTTTCAAAGAGAAAGCCATTTCCTCCAGAGTTTTTGCTATGTTTTCCCAGTTTAAGTCTGATTCTTCTATTCTGAATATTATAGTCTGTTTTCAACTAGTTCAGCACTAATTGGGTAAGGTAAGTTTTTAATAACAGAATCTTGTGTGTGTGAGTGTGTGTGCATGTATTCTGAAAAATTTAGAATTTAAGAAGCAACCTAATTTGTTCTGCTTTTCCACTGATTTTAATAAGGGTTGCATGCACAATCGCAGCTTTAATTAAATATGGATTTCAAATGGCTATGTGTAAGATGAAAAGATGCCTCATTTTAAAATTGGCATGATTGATAGGTGTAAGCCACAGTTATTAATTAATGCTAGTAATTCTGGCTTGAAAAAAAATCAAAGCACATTTTCCCAATTATTTTTTGTAAAACTTCCATATACAATGAATGCTGCCATTCTGTAACATTGCCTGTACCTAACATGATGAAACAAACCTCAAAGGTACCAACATTCATCTTAAATCTCCAAGCATGTATGTGAGACAAAAACTACAGACTTCAAAGCACCTGGATAGACATTACAGGTTCACAGTTCTGGAATAAATCAATTTTTCACAAGAAACATTTAAAGATTCCTTTTCACAAATTAAAAACAAGGAAAAAGAAGCAGAAATACAATTTCACACATATATTTGTTGTATTGCATGGATTATAATGTGCAAAGAAGCCCTTGGAAAGATAAACATTCCCAAAGTTGTGTGAAACATTCAGAAGGGAATTTCCCAAAGCATATTAGCATGAATGAAGCACCTCTTCCTAATGCTTTAAAGCAGCTGTATCTTCTTGGAAGGCTTGTATAGCTTCCTTAACAGCTGTTTCTAGCTGTTCGCGTACAGATAATACCTCCACTGGGATCACGATTAAGGCAAAGCAGTTGTGCATATTCCTTGCTCACAAACAGGGACAACTGTTGAAGGTTTTGCTAACATGCTTTGTGAATCACTCCTTCAGATGCTTTGTGCAGCCTTAAACATTCCCCTGTAGATATTAGGGATGACCCATTTTAGGATGTAGATATTTGGGCTACCAAAGTACAGAGTTCCTAAAATGGCCTGACCTGATTTTTTTTTCATTCTGAAAAAAGTCTGCTTTGATGTCTGGATTGGAAACCACATTTGGAGAAAAATAGAGCTCTCCTTTCCCATAGCATGACAAAAAACAAAACATTTTTGTTTTTAGCAGTTATAAGATAAAACATGCAGAAAAGCTAAATTGCCAGGGAAAAACATGCCAAATTTTTTTTAAAAAAAGTATCTTTTGAGATAACTATACAGTAATAACATTTGTTGCATTAAATAGCCCATCTGATGGTGAAAAACCATGCAAAATGCCACATAAATAAGTTTGAGAGGGGTTCATTCCAAAGAATTCAAACTATTGAGTTTCCTCAATTCAGTAGAACTGGTTACCAATTGAGGGAGAAGTTTAAGGGATTAACTTACTGGTGTTTTCTATAAAATAAATCTGTCACTGGCAAAGCCTGCTAACCAATGCAGCTCATAAAACATTGTGACATTGTTCAGGATAGGAGACGGGGACAATAAGATGAAATGTTAAAACTAAGAATTTTTCAGACCTCAAGATCTCTGCCCACACATGCACTCCAAGGTTGTGATTAGAGCAACTGCTAAGCACCTGATTTTGGTCACTGGATCCAGTGTTCTCTCTCTCCACACCATGATGCTTTATGCAAAGGATAAAGTTTGGGGGGATACGGTTACTGTAGTTTCACTCCTTGAATCCTGAAGCTCCAAGAAAACACAAAGGCTTTGTGACAGGCCAGAATCCTGAGTAACAACTGAGTAAATGAGTTTCTGTTCTCAGTCTTCCGGCACTGCAACCAAATCTGATACGCTGTAATAGCTAGAACTTAGACCACCGTTTTCCAACAATGGCATCTTCCAGGTATGCAGATTCCAATATCCTGAATATTTTAGTCATAGCTGAGAAATCTGGAAGTGGGAATTTGCCTAGATTGCTTTTGTAATCTTGGCTATAAGAAGGGCAAATTAATTCTTGTATAAACATATCCACATGATGATTCTCTTTTGAATTATTAAAGAAAGCTATCCATAATGTCAGTCATTTCAATATGTCATGATTATACAGTATCATGTGAGATACAGCATAAGAAGTGGCTCCTAGCTGAGGATCTTCTTCCCATCATGCACAATATTAATGCCACATAAAATGAATTGAAATTGCTCCTTCATTCCAGCTCTCTTGATTCTAGTAAAGTTAGACAGCTGTCAGTTGTTAATTCTGTAGCCATTTGGCCATATTGTCATTTTAAGGTGGTAGATGCCACCTTAAAATCTATACTTAGTTTCAGCTGTGACTTTTCCAAAAAACATTATTCTTTTTGGGTTTTTTTGGCAGAAAACATCAAGCCACAGTCAGGACCCTATTTCAAAATTCTCACCCCTTGCCTCTTCGAAGAGACCAAGATACCGAAGTAATGAATGCAAGAACTCCTCAGCAAAAAGGTCTAGTTCTCATTCTAAAAAAACAATGCTCACACACTGGCAAAACTATGATTATTCAATGCTCCCATCTATCTTTGGCTATTCCAACACGCGTTGCAATTCCAGCACACAGTACTACCACCGAAGTGCGGGTTTGGAAACATCTCTGTGACAGATCACCAACTCAAGCCTTTAAGAACTACAGCAGTTCCCACCCCAGCCCACCTGCAAAGGACCATTTGAGAACACAACCAGAAACCGTGACTTTTGCTGTCAGGTGTAAGATTCTGACCAACTGGATCAAGAGCGCCTGCTACAAAACCAGGAGTATTGGTCTTTTTTATGTTTTGAACTATTGAAACAATAGGCTACGTACACAGTCTGGTACTGTGGAAATAGGTATGATGCTGTTTTCATTCCTGTCAGTCAAAAGCTGTGTGTATTACCTCCATCCTCCCTTTTTGTTTGTTTGATGAGCCCTGCTTCGATTAGTGACTATCTCTGGATATGAATTTTGAAAAACGGTCAGTCGTAAATAAAACTTCTGGATGTTCAGTCAGCAAGTATATTCACTAGTGCTGCTTCTGACAGTCTTTGTCCTTTCTTTGCTTTTTCTGTAGGTTTTTCTGCTGTGCAAATCAGCATTCAAGAAACAAACTCTAATGTCTTTGTATTGTCAGTATGACTATATGTGATTCAAGGTTTTTTGTTTGTTTTTTGCTAAAGACCAATGCATTTAAAGTATATTTAATACAAACCTTAAGAAGTCAGTCTGGTTATCAAATGTGTGACGTGGCCAGTACAGCAATTAGACTGAAAGTAATTATTGAACCTTTAAATTCAGCCTTAGGAATTTGTCAATAATAAAACAAGTTAGTAGCTCTAATGTAGTGTATTAGGAAGTGTTCTGCTAGCCTGTGGTGGTCTTATTTTAATTATGAAAAACAAGTAACTGATTCTTTAACAAATTAATAGAGGTATTTTCTTGTTTCACTTTTAATTTGATCTTAAAAACAAGGGGAATCAACACTAACAAGAAAATTTACAGTATTAACTGTGACTGTGTGTGTTAGCTAACACACCACTAGGTGGTGTTTTCCCATTTATATAGGGACTCAGCCATCCTTCAAGGGAAAAAAAAGCTTTTATACACAGACTCCGGTCAGTTTCAACAGACAGCTCGTGAGCACCTCCATTTGTGACTCTAGTTTGCTTTCTACTGATTTAATAATAGTGGACACGTACCAGCTTGGTTTAATTTTTTTCCCCCAGTGTTTTATTTAGGGTATTAAAAAAGGCTTACTGAAACTAACATTGCTGTTTGTGCAAATTCCTTGTTATCTTCCTGAACAGAGATAGGGCCGGCAGGAAACATACGTTTTAAAAGGCAAATTGTGAAATATGTATTATACCAAAGACGATGGAGAAAAAAGAATCTGGGTTATTCATAAGCGTCCAGGCATGGTGGGGGCTGGCAAGGTGGGGCAAGTGAGGAAAACATACATCATAATGCAAACTTCACCCCCTTCTGCACTTCCTTATGACATCGTCATGCAAGTATGAAAGAATGGAGCTTGTGTTGTAATGTCACGACATTCCCCTCATAATTTTTTAGCATCATCATGTGAGGAACAGACACCTGTGGGTGTTGTTATTTTCATGTTTTCCCATTCCATACAATGCCCAACATCATAGCATTTCTATAATTTTAAGATGCAAGCAATTTCCATTTTTGGTGTTGCTAACACACTTATAATATACTTAATGTTATATATTTGACACTGCATACTTGAAAGTTGGGTAGAAAAGTCCCCTGCATAAAACACTGGTTGTAAAATGTACATATATAGATAAATATTTCTTATTTAAAAGAAAATCAACTTGATGTGGATATTGATTTTATACCTGTACTAGTGACAAATCTCTCTCTGGGTATAGTTAGCAGAATTATTTTTAATGTATTTTTTTAGAAATCTAAAAAATGCCTTTGCACTGAAATATTTTTCAATATTATAGCTCTTTATATATCTGATTTATGCATACATTTGTTAACATATCAATTCTATTTTTTAAGTATATGTTTTAGAGGGATTTTTTTATATTTATGAGTTCTGGAGCTCCAGAATTTAGCTTATAGTGGAATTGAGATTGTTGAAACTCTGATGAATGTTAATATTAGAAATAGGTTTGTTCTTTCAAATTCATCCAAAGCTGCTGATTTTTATTTCATTTGCTTTTGCTTGTAAATATTGGCTTTCAATATGACAGTCTCTCTTACAAGGAATTGCTGCCACCGTTATTCTGTACTGTTCCATAAAATTTGTATCACTTGCTTGTTCTTTATGTTTTCATTTCCATCCATTAGCCTTAAATGGGAAGACAATTGTCCGATGATTTGAAAATGCTGGGTTCCTGCCCTGCTTGCTAAAGAAAGGGTTTATTGCAACCAACCTTGTTGCACCTCAACAGTTTCCCTAAAAAGTTTATAGGCTGAAACATTTAATGGTAGTTGTGGAGGAAAAAAAATTAAAACGTATTTTTCCACTGAGTTAAAGGGGAATCTGCAGGTGTGTATGGGTGTGCGTCAGAAAAAGGCAAAGGTGCCTGAGAGTGAACGATCAAAGCCCTGCCCCCTTTTTACACCCACATAAAGAGAGGCAGGACTTTAATCATGCAGTGGTTTTTGACTTTTTTGATGCTAGGAGCTGATCCTAGAACTTAATCACTTTTTAATATTAAACTCAGTGGGTCTACCGTAATTATGATCAAATCTGGGATCCCATTCATTCTATTAATTTAGGAGACAGTTTTGAATTTAAAAGCTCCATTTAGGTCACGACCAGTCAGGTTTTAAAAATATTTCAGGAAAATGACAAAAGGAAAAGCTATATAGGTGTTAACTTCAATTTTCCTTCACTGCCTTTCTATAACAGACACGCAAGTAGAATTCTAGTGCAGAGATCTTTATGCACAGCATCAATATATGTACGCTGGTATATCCAGTATTGAATTCTACTGAATAAGTGAGATATGCAGTCATTACTCCTTACCCTGAAGATCTGAAAAACAAGACTGGTTATTAGCTCAGCACTATGCTTGTATCTCACTGCTGATGAAAAATCTTTTTTGATCTGAGTGGGAGTGAAGGAAATTACAGAAAAATTATTTATAGCTATGGTTTATCTCTATGCACTGTGGATTACACCCCGTAATTAGGTATTACAAATGACTAGCAATAAATAATTTTAATAAAATTAACCAAAATTGATGGAAAGCTGTTTAGAGAGATTAAACTTCATTCTGTTTAATCATATTTTGTCAGAATGGTTGAACTTTTAATTAAAAAATGTAAAAATGCTTTCTTACTTGAGCTAATAGGCCCCAATCAAATTCTGTAATGGCTAATCATGTACTTTCATTGAAGCTCACATTATCCCTCCTCCCAAAAACAGTGCTACCAATTTTCCTAGTTTTTTATAATCGATTATTTTGTCCAACTACTTGATATAAAAATAATACCATTTAATCTCCTGCTTGCATCAACCTGTTTATTATACATATAATGCAAGTATCAAAGGAAATTACACATTGTGATATCCATAAGATCATGTCAAAAAGCTTTAATGGAACATTGTCAAAGTATTATAAAAGAAAGAATTATGTGTATGATTGTACATTGTATAATTGTACACATCAGCTTCTACAGCTTTACCTTTGTCAAAACTAGACAGAATTTTAAGTGTGTCTGAAATTCTGTGATGTGCTTACTGTTCTCAATAATCTTTCAATCTATATTGCAAAGTAGAATTGGCAGAAAATGCTCTTGGGAAAGATGGAACATAGTTATTAGAACATTAATCATTAAAAATATCTATAGTCATCAGCACTAAATACCAACATGTATTTTTAAATGGTAGAGTGATCAGTTCACTTGCCTGATAATTCAGCCTTTAAGACCTCTGTTAGATTAATCTATAATACTTCATTAACAGGTTCAAAGCAGTCTCAAATATTAAGATGATATATAAATATATATAAATACAATATATACATGTGCATTGATGTAAAGTTTATTTTCAGTGCTGTTTTTAAAATTTCATTTCTGTAGATAAAATGAATTCTTTATATCCATATTTTGGGACTTTCAGTAGATTCTATATAAAGCAGTAGATGTTTAAATCTGCTTGCAATAAAGTAAAATTTACATATTTGTTTTGGTGTATTGTGTATGAATCTCCGTGGGCATGGGAGGAAAAATTTTAAAACTATTTGTATAAATTGCTATTTAATTGTATTTATGCTAAATACATTTATAAATAATCAGATTTTACTACTGGCTTTTTCACTATTAGTGCAAAAAATAGGGGTACTTCCAGAGGAATTAAATCATTGGTTATATAGTAAAACGTTGGCTAGCATGCTGAATACAAGGAGAATGAAACGTTTTTAACCAGTAAAAGATAAAGATTTTTCTTTAAGAGTCTAATGCACATATTATTGCAGAACTTTTATCATTCAGAAATCAGCCCTCATTTTACTACATATTGAAGAAGAAATTCAGATTATTTTGCAAGGGGATATAGTATCATCACACTATGTGCAGACTGAAAAGTTTCCCATATGAAAACACTTCTGAATTGTTCCAGTATCTGAATGAAAGTTACAAATACCTTTTTAGAACCAATATAGTTCACTTTTGTGTTTATAAACCAGCCTATTACATTCAGGACATAACCAAATGTATTTTCATGTGTGTCTGTAATGCTAAGTAGTTTAATGTCGCTAGGGTTAACAGATCTGGCAAAAACATCTCATCAAGCATGATTATTGCAGTGACCAGTTAACATTACTGGAATGTGCTTGTTTTGCTTTTTAAATTTCCCATTCCTCCTTTTTCCTATCAACAATTAAATCCACAGTGTCTTATTTGTATGGGAGGGAAGAAAGTTGAGTCTTTACAAGACCCACTGTTTCAAAAAGAAATCTTAATACTCATAAAAG